TTTAAAGGATGGTATGTATCTTAAATTGTGAATCACCTGTCAAGATTGACAAAAACACTGTATTCTTGGTAAAATCTTATGAAAAACCTCTGTGATGTCATAATAAACTAGCACAATTGCTCAATTTTGGTACAGAGCCACAGCATTTTGAAAATCAAAATGGCAGGGATTTTGTCACCAGATGTTAAATCTTTGCGTGCAGTTGTGGAATACCACGCCTCCTTAAGGCATACACCTACACAAACAAGAACAGCCATGGAAAAAGTATATAGACAGTAAACTCCAAGTGCACCTACAATATGGAGGTGATAGAAGAAGTTAAAAACTGGAGATACCAGCCCGGAAGATGCTCCTAGAAGTGGAAGGCCAAAATCCAGTGACAATCTCATATCACATATTGCAGAGAGTAGGCCTATAAGGGCTGAAATGAGAACTACTCAGTGTAGGAAGATCGCTTAGACTTTGATATTAGTAAGAGTACTGCTCACAGAGTGATGAAGAAAGACCTTTGGATGTCAAAGGTAGCCCCTAGATTCATTCCACATATTCTGACAGAGGAGCAGAAAAGGCAACGTGTTGAGCTGAGCCAGGGGTTCCCAAATCCTTAATTTTTACGTCATATTTGTATTTTTATCCTGTTTTCTGCCCCGGGTACCCCCAACATTCCATTTTTAATCATCTGTAACATTACCAAATGATCTTATTATGCTATGAAACTTACAGAGATAGTAGAAATATATCTACGTTAGAAAATGTGAAATTTTTATCATTGTATCTCAAATATTCTATGAATAAGAATAAAAATTTCAAGACTTATGGGACAACCCTCGTATGTTAAGGTTAATTCTAATGAAAGGGAAATAGTCAAGAACCATTCCATCCATCTTCCATGTGATTGACCATTTGAAAGACTCTCATTCCTCCCTAAGTAGTGTGGGACTTTGTCATCATAAAGTGTCTATAAATGTATTGTTCAGTAATAGATTTACATGTGATACACTGTACTTGTAACATCAGCTGCCTCTAGTCAGATCGACTAACAAAACAACCTTTTTTGGGGTTGTCGAGTTGGCCGAGAGGGCTTGAGTGCCAGCACGTTTAGGCTAGGCGATTGGGGCCATAACCACGAGGTTGCGAGTTTGAGAAGCGTGTGCTCTGTGAATGCAGTCGCTGAGATGCTCAGCAATAACGCACAAATATATTTGCAGGAAATCACCTTATTTCAAATCCTCTCTACAAAACTGATACAAATATATAAGCACTTGTGCCTAAGGGAAAGGACCAAAAGTTGAAATGGAACTTGGCAAGAAAAAGCAAACTCTAAGTGCATACCAGTCAAGAAAAACAAACCCCATATTGCCCAAAACCATGATCTAACGTGAAAAGAAACGATGTCCAATACCCCCTTTCCCCCACCAGTCAAGAACCAATATCACAATCCAAGACAAAGGGACATTTCATTCATACTGAAGTCATTACAATACATGTTGAAGAATAAATTAGAAATTGATAGCCAATTGATAGCCAATACTCATAACCTCAAAAATATAAAAGCAAGTTTTATTCATCATTTTGACATCATAGTTGAAAATTGAAATTGTAAAAACTAATGAAATAGTTACCAGACTAAAACAAACTAGATTCCTGCATCTAAACCGCATAGAGTGCATCTGCACCTGTTGCCAGAGTCTGTAATTGCCAGAGTACTACAACAGGTAGGTTTAAGAATTTCTTCATTTTTTGCTTTATAGATGTTACCTCCTTCTTAAATCATTGATGCTACAGAATGTAAAGGCAGGCTTGATTACAGAGCAATAATACCATATATGACAACATGTAATATTATTTTACTTAGTAAGGGTTTTTAGGTTGGGTCAACATTGCATAATGTCCCTCCATTCAGTCTCCTATGAAAATCACTTTTGAAGGGCAGTTTTGAGTGTAACTTTTTTGTTAGGGCAATTGTGATGTCACAATATATTACCAAATGCCCCAAAATGGGCATATATGGTGAGTAAAGGATCTTTCCGTTGATACCCTATATGACTATATTCAACTGAATTAAGTGTATGCGTACATTTGCCCGTGAGTACCATTTGTTGAACCTCTGTTGATCTGTAGGATAGCACTTGCCATTCTACTTTACTATGCTGTTGTTGGGAATACCCTGTTCTTTGGTAGAACAGTAGATAGAGGTGTATAAAATTTCCCACTTGCTAGGGCTTCTGGTCCCATATCTCATTTTTATGAGAAGCCTGAGGTACAATGAGTCATGTTCATACTTGAGGCTTCCAATGTGAGCACAGTACCCAGGGTACTTTTCATACTTTCTTGTGTGCTTACTGTACCATTTAGTGTAGCATTTATGTATGTCACCTCAATGATAACATTTACAAAAGGAAGGCATCCAGTGTGAAGGAAGGGAACTGATATCATAAAAATACCATTGTTCATTACCATCAATTCCATACCCAAGTCAATAGCAAAAGTTCCAAAACATGCCATGGCTGGAAATGAAGTTGACATGGCTAAGGTTCACAATTATAAAAACCGATAGCACATCCTTTACCAATGACTTACAGTAAAGCAATTCATGGTAACAGGTGCTTGCTAGCATCCAAACAAGCAGAGAATTTTCATGCAGTTTCAACGACAGAGGTAGTGCCGAAGTCTATTATTGGCTACAAAACAATAATAAATGCAAAACCATCAAGCCACTCTACCAATGTTCTCATCCCCCTAAGTACTCATAATCGCAAGGGATTTAAACGTATGAAACATTTTAGTTCTCTTCGAGTGTCACTTGCAGACTTGTTTACGTAGTATTCGCATTAAAAGTTAGAAATAAACACGATTCTTAACAAAAAAAGTATGTTTTATTGATGTTATATACATACGATTCAACAATACTTTTGATAATACTGATGTAAATGTAATCAGGTAATGCGATGATTCCCAAAAACACCACAAAACAACCGCTAAATTATATAAAACGGCACTTAAAGATATTTGCGTTTTGATTTGCAGCAGGGTAAAAATTATCACAAGTATTTGTTCACTTGCGTTCAAAAAATCTATAATCTTGCGTCAGGACTGCGTTGCGTCAGAGTGGTTATATGCCATTTTGGAAATTTGTTCTCTGACGTCAGCACCTAAAGTATATAATTAACAAACAAGCGTAAGAGATCATTCACACAGTGACATTCAACTATCCTACAATACAGAAAGTAGACCTTATATGCTTATACGCTTAACTTTACACAGAATGCCAAAGAACTAACCAGATCAAGATCCAGCAAAAGTTATTGGAGGTATGAATTCACTAATTATCTTACAAAACAAAGTAGCAAGTACCTTTTCTGTTCCCCGATGTTGAGAAAATACTAATGGTCAAAGACCATGCTAATTGGCTGCACAGGAAAGATTTTATAGACGCATGTGAAATCTTATTTGCGCTAACTTCTCAGTGGTTGGACATGTAGTGGTCAATTCTTTTTTGGTGTGAATTCTATGGACAGTGATATCTTGAGATGATCAACGATCTAGTTGTGTCTCTCCTTGATAGAATTCCAGAATTTCATTGTCAGAGTTATCAATGTATGATGGCAACAGGATGGTGCAAAGGACTGTGGCAGATTGTTTGGCAGAACTTTTTGGAAATCAGACGTTAACATTAAATTACCCAATGGATTGACCCAAGGGTCATCCAACTTTACACCCTTGATTTTTAAGGGCCTCTGAAAGCGCTTTACAGCATCAAAAACTGGTCTAACTGAACTGTAAAAATAATTGATGGAACCAGTGTGATATTACAATGCATGTATGCATGGTCAAGGGTACCTCAGATTTGCTTTGTTGAGGGGACCACATGATTATGTGGATAGTACCCAATGATCATAAAAAGACAAATAGGAAAATTACTGAATGATTTGAGAAAGTTAAATGTTAAAGAAACTGTTTCTTTTTTTGTCATTTGGTCCATCAAATCACTTTTACCAGTCAGATTTTACCATGGGACACTAAAAGCTGTCCTGTGCAGCCAATCAAGGATGGATTTTGAATCTAATGGTGTCAAATTATTCAAGAAAGATTCCAAAGAAGAAAAACAAGATGCAACACATAAAGAGGTTAACGTGGATTCAAGGCCCATCCGAAGGAATTCTTTACTGATCTAGATATATACCTTACAAACAGATACAAAGGGGTAGACAAGAAGCAGAATCCCTAAATATGATTGCCTATATTGGGAAATTTCTTTTTTCAATAGATCTCAAAAAAGTTTCTGTTGAAAAAATTAATACAAACCTCTCGAGGTTTTGGGTATTATCTCATATATACAGGGTGGTCCAAAAAAGCAAGATGCCCTGGGACAGCCTAGACATTATGATGCTCTACTGAATAACTTTCAAAATGTGAGTGTGCCAGGAATCAAGAGCAGCTTCAAGAAGAGTAAACTATGTCAAGGATGTGACAACTTTTGTGTCAAATTACTTCAAGGATAACCTTTTCAACTTCATCCCTGGGTGCCACTACCCATCCTTTCCTAGACTTGAACATGATCACTTCATGAGAAATCCAGAAGCCTATGGAAGAAATCTTGGACAATTTTCAAAAGAATTGGACTCGTGGAAGAATGCTGTCGCCAACTAATTATGATTATAACAATAATTTGTGGTGAAGCAGTTAAGAAAACCATGACATAAATGTATAACATGTCTTTTAGACACTATTGTGAACCTGAATCTAAGGCTAACACATGTCACTGGCCAGTGAGCTTGACCAAAAGATATACTTCCAGATCACAAATCATGTTTATTTAACTTGTATTGATAATGGAGACCAGCAATTACAATATGACTTGAGTAGATTTATATTCATAGATACAATAAGTATAAATGGATAACAAGAGATCAACTAATGTATATACAACAGTATTGAACATATTTGTACCTTTCTAAGTCCTTATTATATTAAATATCATGAAAAATGTGATCCTACATGTACAGTGTACAAGTACACATATCTAGCATTGGTATGCACTGATTGTGTAATACCAAATGTATTAGTGAAATGTATTTATAAACCAAACATCGATTAACCAAACTTAAGTCTCATAGATATAAGCCTCTTGTAATTATGCTTGCTAAGTTTGGCACAGTTTGTACATGGTCATGAAATTGTGGCCATTATATATAGGCCAATGAAACTTGTTGGGATGAAAGAAAATTGTTTTAATTTTTATTGGCTTGGTTGGTTTATGGATGATTGGTTTTAAAATTGGTGGTATTTAAATCATTTTTCACGACATGGGCAATGTCTCATGCAACATGAGCAACACATACAGGCACTACAAGCACATACTTCTGTGCAACCACCTTTACAGGGTTCCCTAGCAGAAAATGTTGAAATGACCCATCTCATTGTGCCACAAGGGAATCACCAAATTTGATCTGATGTCCTTGTCAAGAGGTATTCCATGAACAGGTACATCATATATTATGGCAGTTCCTTGAGTGTTTGGAATGCGAGCACATCTTCCTGACTCCTGAATGTAATCCAACACAGTAGGGGTAAAGCCCCAATGGCTTACAATGTCAATAGGAATGGAAATGCCCATTCCGAAAGCAATAGTTGAAATAAGGCATCTGATTTTACCACTTTGATGATTGAAGTGTTTATAGATCTGCTCTGCTGTCTCATCATCAGTAAGAGAATGATATCTCTCTACCAACCTATTCTTTGCTAATTTTGGGTCCCCAGGCAGCACAGCTAAAGAGTCAGTCATCCATTTCCATAGCTTAGAGGTGTCCTCCATTTTTCTGCAGTATATGATCATGTGTTTTGTTTGCACTCCCTTTGTCTTTAAATCATTGATGTAATAGTTTAAAACTGACAAATCAATGCCTTGAACCTTGGGAACCAGCCGAACCCTGTACTGCATTAGAACAGGAAAACCTGTATGGTTTTGCCTAGAATGGAATGTAGTTTATTCATATTGCAGGTTTTTAATCAAGGCTAAGTGTAGTACAGCAGAAATCTTTTTTTGCTCGTGATCATGCCTTGGGCTATGAGAATGGGCAGTTTCCTTCACAGTGTGCCCCTACACCTCGGTTAATAAGAAAATCCAAAGGCAGTGAGTGGGGGAACTTAAGCAAACTTTAACTAGTGACACTGCAAACCCAGTAGAAACAATTTTCCCCATCACAAAATTGAATGAGGTATCTATCCTAAAGTCTAAGGGGTGAAATGTCTAAGGAAAGAAACATCCAGGGGGTGAAATGTCTAAGCGGTGAACTGTCTAGGGTTGAAACATCCAGGGGTGAAACATCTAGAAAGCCTCATGTAGCTATGAAGGATATGTTTGAAGACATGTTTGAAGGTAAACATAAAATGATCAGGTAATAACATACACAGTACAGGTCACGGCGAGGGTCTCATTTAAGTGCATCACGGTGCATCTATCGGTGCATTGGACCATAGCTATGCAAAAACTAGATTCAATGATGATTGGCCATTGTTTTAGAATACATTTCATATTGAACAGTACAGAATCTGAAAGTAGAAAAATCAATGAACTTTTCAGCTTTAGCAAGTAGGCCATTTTTAAGAATAAGAAGAGTATACAAAGGTAAGACTAGAGTGGGATGCATTTCTGTGCTGAAGTGTTTATCATTATCTTTTGTATAAAGCTTTAAGTAATGCTTCAACAACTTAAAATATACTCATAAAACTTTGTAAATTTTTAATTGAGGCTGGGCAAAAAAAATGTTCTTACATCTATATAAATGTTATTTTAATGTTTGTTACTGTATTAGTTAAGTTTGTCTTTTGTACTCTTATACCCTATAAGGGGTGAATTGAGAAATCAATAAATAAAATAAATATACAACTGTACATTGGAGATGCAATTTTTCAGCCTTACAATTTCAAAAGTGCCGTCAGCACCAAAAATGGCTGACAAGGTCGCAAAACAACGGGCAGAGGTTTTCTCCAGTATTCAGTTGGAAGTAATGATGGACATCATTGAAAAGAAAAATGATGTTTTCATCCATTCTTTTAGTTAACTCCTCAAGCTGAAATAAAAGAATGAGGCATGGGATTGTATTGTGAGGGAGGTACGCTTAGATCACCAGTATCGGCGTCTTGAACTCATGATTTATGTCCCGTTAGATAGATTTGCTGTTGATATGCCATATGACGTTGAAATGTTGATATGCGTTATTGTGTAAAGTAGCTTAATTTTTTATATTTCTGACTAGTTTTTCGGGTTTGTGTAAAAAACAAGGTGAGAAATGATAATCCCTAATACTCTAGTATTGCATCTATACCACCAGCACAAGCTGCATCCTTGAGGCAATTGGTTGAGTCTGCTGATGGACCACCTGCACAAGATGCACCTTTGAGGCAACTGGTTGAGTTCCATGTGCACCTTCCGGTAAAATACGACCAAGATGAGCAATACCTGCTCATATTCCGGATCCGAAATACATGAGACAGTAGCTTCTATCCAAAAGTGCTCACAGAAACAAAAAGGATCATTTAGTAATGAAGAGTTGAGGAATTTGGAGAATTTGGCTGAAGATGATTTGCCATTTGGTAAGAAATCTGGTAAACAAGTGCATAGGCAGGAGGAAGGCAAATGATTTGCTAAAGTTCTTCTTGAGAAGTGTGTCATTGTAATATTTCCAATTTAACTCGGATTTGCTTCACCTTTTGAATAATTTATTTTTGTCCAGGCAATGACCCTGGTAGATAAATAGATAGTTTTCAAGTCAATTGGTCGAAACACCAAGACATTTTCAATCAGGATTTATTATTTTAGTATGAAGATATTTCTTTGGAAAATCTTATTATAATGACAATAACATATCAACATATGTTGATCTAATTGTGAAACATGCTTGATATCACACAGGCTGCATGGTCCTCTTTAACAAGGAGAAGAATCGCAAACAGCACTATCAAACAGAGTTTGAGAAAGCTTTCAGTGAAGTCTTAGATGATAAAATTGTCCAGGGGTCTCCAAATCTATTACATTAATTAATACAAATTACAATATAAATCACGCTTAACTATTTGGGTGCCAATTTTGCCGATTGTGAAAGGATCAGCATAAATCAGCATTTTAATATGAATATTTTTCAAGTTGAAATGAGATTAAAATCACCAAAAAAATCAACAAATAAAAGTTATGAGTTTTGGTGACCTAGTTCTATGACCTTTGACCTAATTTGATGACCTTTGACCTACTGAATTGACAGTAGGTCTTTTGTCATTGAGTGGACCAAAATTTACATCAAAACAAAAGGTCAAGTAAAGGTCAAAACTAAGGTCAGATTTGAACTCCTTGAACCTTGTAGATGATGTTCCGTGACTTTTTTACGTAAAAATCAGTGATTTCTTGGAAACCAGGCGAACTTGGGAAATGGTGATGGAAGGTAAAATAGGAATTATGGATAAAATGAATATATAAGCACTAGTGCCAAAGGTAAAGGACCAAAAGTTGTAATGGAACTTAGCAAGAAAAAAAGCAAACTCTATTTACCAGTATTTGTTTAATATTGCCCTTCAAAATGATGTTATTGTACTAATGTAGCAAGTAAAGATCTGAGAGAGGAAGTGTATCCAATTATGACTGATGATGAAATATCCAAAGAAGCAAAAAATGATTGGATGATAATTATGCTTGGTAATAGCTGGATCAGGAGAAGTGTGTCAAATGTGTTGAAGATAAAATACTATGCTAGCTGTAGAGTGAGAATGATGAGCAAATTACTCATAGCTTTGAGAAAGCTCACGGGGGAGGAGAAAAGTATGTGTGACTTTTTGGCCCCCAAATACTATGATAAAATCATATCAGCATCTTTTCTTACAGCAGGAGGATCAATGGAAGATTTAGAAGACCTCAAGTCTCCTTCAACCGCTGTAAAGTTAAGTTATGACTTAAGGAGAATGGTGATCATCATTGTTGAAGCTATCAAATCAGAAGATGACGTTCAGAAGAGACAGGGTGAATAGCTGTTAATGTAAGCGTTCTGCAAGTGTCCTTAGAAGGCTACATCACTACGTGAGAGCTATAATAAGAATTGAGAGACTCTCTACCCTACACTAATTTCATGTTCAGGAGTGACTTGCGCCATTAAAGCAAATAAAGAAGAGCTGCTTCAAAAGGTGAAGCAGACAGGCCTGAAAAAAAGTATTTGATTGACTCCAGTATTTATGAGTATGACCATGAAGTGGCAAGGACGCCACCATACCACTATGACATGCAGGAAGTCAATTGTATTGAATAACTAAATTATATTTAAATTCTGGTTTTGAGGCAATATAATTCTATAGTTTTATTTATATTATAACAATATTTAAAAGGTGAATAATGAATGATGATATAAATGAATAAATAATGAATAAATGAAATATAAATAAATAAATAACTATAATTGATGAATACAGAGTCTGTATCCAGAGTCTGTTTTGCCAGAGTGTACATCCATAGCCTTGCAGTTAGAGAAGCCATTGGCAATAGTACCTTTAATACAACAGGTAGGTTTGAGAATTTCTTCATTTTCTGCATTATAGATGTTACCTGCTTCTGAAATCATTGATGCTGCAGAATGTAAAGGTAGGCTTAATTATGGAGCAATACGACCACATATGACAACATATAATATTGTTTTACCTAATTAGGCTTTTTTGGTGTGTGTCAACCTTGCATAATATCCCTCCATTCAGTCTCCTGTGTAAAATTAAGTTTGAGGTCAAACTTAACAAAAGAGGGGGTTGTGTAACAATTTATTATTTATTCAGGTGGAGGATGATTTTTTGTGATTATTTAGTCATATTTAAAACTTACCTGAAGGCTGATATTTAGCGTAATTCAACAATTTAATCGTTAAAAAAAATCTTCTAATGTTTTGGTAGCCAATTTGGATTAAATGAGTCTCGTGAGATTTCAACATCAACAAACAATTACAATAGCAGAAGTAACCAAATATGTCAGACATTTGAAGTGAGAAAGAGTTCTTGGATGCATTATAATAATGATAATGATCAGCGGGTGGCGGTCGTGGTTGGCAGTTGGTGTCTGTAATAAATCCTTACAACTTCCAAAAACAGAGCAAATACTGTTTAGACGGACTTCATTTTTTCAAAATCATCTACAAGTTCTGAGAAGTCAGATTTGAGACATGATCATTTCTCAACATGCTTCAAAGTGACCAATTTTATCATCTATAAGTACTCAAAGGTCCAAGTCTGACTATAAATTTGAGAGATGACCTTCTCAAGGTCAAAAAATATTATGAGCAACTAGACGGTGACATTTTGTCACGTTTACGCCCTTTGGTTATTTTAATTCCAGATGTTATATTTTTTATTTTAGTGTGCATATAAATCTGAATGGTCTGATGAATGGGGTTGCATTAGAAGGGGTAATAGTAAATATAGCGCAGTTTGTACCGTATGCAATAGGAACCTTGATATCAGCCACATGGGTAAATATAATAGTTATCATTTTGTTCATTTACTGAATAGTATATCTTGTTACTGATTTGATGTACACTTAAGAATAATGATAAGTGTAAATAAATTAATACATAAATGCTACGTACATTAATGATAATATAATTAAAGTATAATTGAATTAAATGGAGAACTGAGGAAAAACTGTATTGTAGGACATGCAGATGTTAAACGACACATACAGGCAGTTTCTCATGTGACAAAATCTGCTGAAGATCGAAGTCGGATCGACAAAATGCCAATTTTTAAATCTTTATATAAAGCTACAGGAATGCCTGATTTGGAAGTAAAGGTACCCATTATAATAGAGTTCAGTATGTAAAGAAGTCAAATCGTATGGTTCTAGAAATTGTTTTAGCTTCTTAATGATCGT